GCAATTGATGGCACCCATGTGCTGGCAAGGGTGCCCAAGCACATGTAGGGGCCCTTCAAGGGTAGGAAAAGCAGTTGTACACAAAATATAATGGCAGCTATTGATTTTGATCTCAAATTCACATATGTTCTGGTTGTGTGGGAGGGGTCTGCTCATGATGCATTGGTTCTAGCTAATGTTATAGAGAGGGATGGGGGCTGAGTGTTCCTGAAGGTAACATCATTACCCATAGCTGTCTATTTGTTGTTAAACCATATTGTTCTGTCTTGTAAGCCAATCCACCACTGTCTTGTAGGGAAATTCTATCTAGTGGATGTTGGTTATGCTTGTAGACCTAGGTTCCTACCTCCTTATAGGGCTGTGAGATATCACTTGTCTGAATATGGTCCTAGGCATAACCCTACCAATGCCAAGGAGTTGTACAACCTGAGGAACAACTCGCTTAGAGTGACCATTGAGAGGGCCTTTGGTGCTCTGAAGAACAGCTTTCGAATCCTAGATAACAAGGCATTCCATAAATACAAGACACAAGTGAAGCTGGTTCAGGCCTGTTGCATCTTACACAACTAGATCCTAGGATTTGGGGTTGATAATGTAGTCCCAACTGAAGCAGAGTGGGTTGCCAACCCTGCTTCTTCTTCTTCCACTGGTCTACCTGTCAATGATTTGCAGACACAAGAGGTTCCTACCATGGCATCAGTTAGGGATGCAATCTCTGATGCCATGTGAGATTCTAGGGGAGGCTTATAGGACCTAGCTGTGCATTTCATGTCCTGTTAAACTGTAATAATTGAAGGCTGCCTTGTATGGTACTAATGTTCCATTGTTGGACTCATGTAATCTTTAATTAGTGGACACCAGCTAAGACTAATTTTTAATGATACAAACGTGTGGTTCTCTGCTATACCTTATTATGTGATTGGTGCATGACAAGTGTATTGTATATGCACCTTAGATGGCTAGGAATGGTGTTGCTGGGTTTGTCAATGCATCTGCAATGGTGCCTAGTGGGTCTGCGCTTTGCCCTAGCCACAGCTGCTGGTGCTCCTGCTGGTGCTACTGTTGTTGCTGATGATGATGTGTATGTTGTTGCTGGTGCTACTGTTGTTAGTGCTGGTGTTGGTGCTACTGCTGATGGTGCTGGTCCAGCTGCTAGACCACCCATGAGGTGGACAACCAACACTAGTGGCTTTGTCCTTAGGAGGATGAAGCAACTCATTGAGAGTGGGGCTAGGGCTGATAAGGGCTTTAAGGACAAGAAGGTGAACTAGGTAGCCAAGCAACTAAGAGAGTACTTGGTGAGGAAGTGTCCTCCACCCAAGTGTACAACCACTTGAGGAAATGGAGGCAGAGGTGGGGTAGGATCAACAAACTTAAGGACCTTAGTGGAGCCCTATGGGATGAATGAGTGAGGGCAAACATGATAGATCCTGAGCATTACATTGGCCATATCAAGGTACTTGATACTTAGTAAATTTTCTCTCTTCTCCTCTGTCTTCATCACTGCCTCAACTAACTGCCTAGAAAATACTAAATGCAGGACCATCAAAAAGATGTTGAGCTTCTAAACACCCCTCTGAAGTTCTATGATGAGATAGAGGCTATCTTTGGTAATGGTATGGCCACTAGTAGGTTTGTTGTTGGGTCAAATGAGGCCTTAGGTGTCAACTCCTACCAAGCTGACAGTGGTTTAGGTAAGGTGGAAGGCCCACTAGGTAACCATGGGGGTGTGGAGAAGACTGAGCAGGGGGAAGGCAGCAGGGCAACCGAGCTGCTGACCTCTGATGGTGGTAGGAAGACGAAGAGGGCCTATTTTAGTGAGGAGGAGGTCCTCATCATGACCAACATGACAAATGCAGTTAACAATGTAGCCAATGCCCTTAGGGAGACTGGCCCTGCTCATGTGGATGCTGACTTGTATCATGTTGTGATGGACATGCCTGGCTTTAGTGAGGAATCCCTCATTGTTGCCTTCTCCCACCTACTAGACAACAAAGCCCAAGCCACTACCTATGTGAAGATGGTTGATAGTCATAGGGTTCTATGGCTAAGGACCTTCCTTGTCAAGTACTACTACATGTAGATGCTCTAGGACCTGCCCTGGACTTGGAGAGAAGCAGTTGAGGATTATATATGCAGTCCTCCACCCTCTATCACTCTCCTTGACTGACTTTTGGAGACTTTTGCTCCTGTGTTCTAGCTATGCAGCACTAACGGCCTAACACACTACTACTTTGGTTTTGTGGTTCTTTTTATGATTGAGGAGGTGGGTAACTATAGCTGGCATGTAATGGGAACTTATCTGGGGATGCTCCATGGACCCCTAGCTGTTGAACTATTGAACCATTCGATGGCTACATGCCATGTAATTTGTAATATAATCAGTTTGACCTAATTTGCTAGTTTTCTTACTGGTTTGCTGATTCTGATGTTTCAAGCCGATGATGAAACAATTTGCTATATAGGTGGCACTGCATATGATCTGGTGAATGTGGTTCTCATGGTTGTCATTGAATCGTGAGATACATCTATACCCAAGCAATAACTTTTTCTATTCTTTGCTGATGGCTCGGGTTGGATGTGTCTCACGATTCCATGGTTGTCATGAACTTGGTTATTTTGACTGTGATGGTTTCCTACTAGTTAAGGCTGATGATGACACAAGGTTATGTTATAGAGGTGGCACTGCTTATGTTTGTATCTCTCTTTGTGCTGGTTTCTTGGTTCTTGTGCCTGCCATCAAAACATGTGCGACGTCCATACCCAAGCAACTGCTCTCTCACTGATGCTCTAATGGCTTGGGTTGGACGTCTCTCATGCTTCCATGGCTGTCATGATCTTTTTTTCGTTGTCTACATTTGGCTTCTCCAGGCAAACAAACACGTCATGCTTTGTTTTGTTCTATTTGCTACTTCATCAGTGCCACCAGTGACGGTTATGAGAAGGTATTAAATCATTATTTTGTCTAAGGCCATGTACCTTTTTCTTTTGCCTGTGATGCAATAGATGGATAGCTGAGGCATTTCTACTGTTGCCTGTGATGTCTACTGTACCTTTACCATGTGCATTCCAACGATTTGTTTCTTGAGTTTGTCTACCACTTCAACTGGACTAGACAACCTCATTGAACAAACCGGTGGCTTGCACCTGAAACATTTTTAACTGAGGCTTGCTGCTTGTCAAATGCAGAACAATGTGTGTTTGGTATGTTGTTTTCAAGGGAAAGCAATCTGGTGTGTACACCAGTTGGCTGAGTGCAGTGAGCATGTACTAGGGTATCGTGGAGCTGTGCATAAGAAGTACAACTCTTATGATGAAGCAATGGCTGCTTTCAACTCAACAATCAATTTAATCTCTACTTCTAAACCTTCTTCCTCTGTTATAGAACTTGCATCAACACCCTCTGCTATTAGTTACAAAACTGTGGTGATTGTATTCCTTTGTGCTCTGGTGTGAGATGTGGATCAAGCTGAATAAGTGCAATGGCTGCAATATTTAGTTATTAATTGTAATTTCTAATTTATGATGTTGTAATGATACTGCTAAGTACCTAAACTCTGCTCTATTTAGCTTCATTGTCCTTTCATAATTGTGCTGTGGTACCTGCTCTTATCATATTGTAATGCTTTTCCCATGGAATCCATCTGGTGCTGGCGGTTGTTGTCCAAGTAAACAAACACCGTCTCAACAAGATAGTTGGGAGGTAGTTGGTTTGTCTGACAACCTGCTCAGGCAAACAAACACAATGGTTATGTTCGCTTGTCTTATGAGCCGTACTATTTCAGCGAACGAACAATATTTTTCTCTCACAACAAATTAGCGAACAATACTTTCAGTCATAGCTTTTCAGCAAAGCGAACAGGGCCAATCTCCCAACAGCCAGGCCTAGCTAGGAAAAGTGACCAAACAAGCTATATTGCAGCAATTGAACCTGCACCCCCTGGACCCTGACTGGGCTGGTCCGACCAGGCCACCCGCGTCCTGGCATACAAACGCGCACTAAAGGCTTGTTTGGTTGGAGACCTAGGGTACTTGCCTGGTAAAAGTGTTGTCTAGAATTTCAATGAAATTTGACTCGCGAGGCAAGTAGAGAGATGATCTGTTTGGTTGGATACTTGTGCCCGAGAAGTTTAATAAGGAGAGAGAATATGTTTTTTTATGTATACAACTAATATTTATGGAACAAATAGAAATTCGTGCACATAATTCGTGCATATAATTATGGAACAAATAGAAATTAAACATAGCAAAGGCACCGTGATAAGCGATGTTGAGTAACAGAAGACAGGAAAAAGAACAAAACGTAAATGGCATCATTTCACCGAGAAGTTAAAGAAAAAAAAGACAAAAGAAAAAGAAAGAAAGATGGAAGAGACGTCACTACTACAGTAGCGTATTAATTATCACCAGGCAACCTGGTCCTGTACCCAGGCGCTCAGTTTTCATGGCCTGGCTGTGGCCGCCCTTGCCTGGTCCAGGCGTGTATTTAGGGTTTAAAGCAAACGCAGTGCAAGCAATCTTCAGGTAGGTGTTTGCTCAGCACAATCCATCCAGCGTGCAATCCAAACAGGCCCTAAATGGTGCTGCCGTTCGCTGTGGCCTGCACCGCATGCTTGCCTCTGCTCCGTTTATTCCGTATGGGAATCATGCATGCAGTAGCTTTGATTAAGGAGGAAAGAGGGTGCCTATCCACTGCATGAAGAAGAGAGAGAAAAACGCCTGTTGCAGGCTTGCCACTGCTCCATTTTAATGTGTTTGCATGCTGCTTCTGGCACGCTGATGCAGGTGCAGTCGCTGCTGCACCATTTGCTACCGCTTGCATGCTTCTTTGACCAAAATGAGTGGACACAAAGGGGTTTAGCTGTGGCTTGTCCTAAACGATCATAAATTTTCAATCGAAATAATATTTTTCTCTCACATAAATCAGCCAACAGTACTTTTTCACGAACCAGCAACGAAACGAACTAGCCAACCAAACAGTGCGGTGGGGTTTGCAGAGATTAATGGCGGCCAAGAAGATGCAGCGCTCCTGTTGCTGTTTGTGTGCATGCGTGAAGCCTGAGTGAGAGGGTCGGAGCCGCAACCTTTTCCACTACAGGAGCGCGCCGAAGCGAAATACTGCGACATACGCGAGCAGGGTCGGGGCAGGCACAAGGAGGACGCAGCAGCAAGGCAGCACGGGCAGTGGGCAGCGGAGCCATGCGCGACGTGGGCATCAGCGCTTTGCAGTGATGGCGCATGCGAGCCACAACGCGGTAGCTGGTCATCGAGCGGGGCAACGAGCACAGCACGAGTGCACAGAGCAGGAGCGACGAGAGCGGGGCCGGCAAGAACAGAGCAGTGCATTGATGCGACCAGAGTAATGTGTTCCCTTTGAACACGCTGTTAGCAAGCCCCTCGAACGCGGTGCCGCCGGGGCCCCTGAACACGGGCTCCTTGCTGGTGAGCACGAAGACGCCCGAGCCAATGATGGAGCCGAAGCCGAGGCAGCCGACGAGGGCCAGGCCGAAGACCCGCGCCGGGTTCATCTCTGCGCCGTCGAAGGGCGCCCCCGCCAGCACCTTTGCGCCGAGCAGGAACCCCACGGCGAGCGGCGCAATGGTGCCCACATGGCCCCGCTTCAGGTCGATCACCGTGGTGTAGTATACGTACACGAGGACGAACGTCAGGACTGCCTCCAGCAGCACGGCGTGTCAGTCGCCGACCCCGGACGCGAGCGCGAACCCCGGCGGGCGCACTCCCCCCGTGGCCAGCCACAACAGGAGAGTGGCGGCGACGGCGTCCAGCATCCGCGCCACCCAGCAGGAGGCCGCGTGGACGGGGAACATGCGGCGGCCGATGAGCGCTCCGAAGGTGGTGGCTGGGTTCACGTGCCCGCCTGAGATGTTGACGGCCACAGCCACCTCGACGAGGAGACCGTCGAGAATCTAGTCGTCGGCGGCGGCGTTTTGGAGTGACTCCGCAGCCCGCAGCATGGTGAGTAGGTCGCCGAGCGCAGCCAGGACTACCTCGAGGAGCGCGAGGCTGTGGCCGCCGCTGCCACAAGACCGCGCGTGTGCCTCTACGGCTGGCGCCACCGGCTTCCTCATCGTCCTCGCAGGGCCCGCCGCCGGCTCGCCCCCCACCGCCGCCGATGTCATCACGGATGTGTGGATGGACAAGGGGAGGAGAGATTGATAGGGGGCTGGAAACTGGTGCGTAATGTGGAGAGATGTGTCGGAGGAGTAAATTTTAGTCTAGGTCACATCGCTAATTAAGAAAATTAAATATGAGTTAATTATAAAATTAATTACATAGACGGAGACTAATTTAAGATACAAATTTATTAAGCCTAATTAATCCATCATTAGATTCCTTAGACTGAATTTTAGTCCTTGTCCCATCGAATGTTTGGACACATGCATGGAGTATTAAATATAGACTTAAAAAAATAACTAATTACACAGATTACGACTAATTTGCGAGACGAATTTTTTAAGCCTAATTAGTTCATGATTTAACAATGTGGTGCTACAGTAAATATATGTTAATGATGGGTTAATTATGCTTAATAAATTCGTCTAGTAAATTAGTCTCCATCTGTGTAATTAATTTTATAAATAACTCATGTTTAGTCCTACTAATTAGCATCCGAACGTCCGATATGACCTGGACTAAAATTTAAGAAAATTGCTATTTCGCCATTATCAAACGTGGACTTCGCTTTTTTGTCATCCCGCAAATGAGATTCGCCCGTATGTTATTTTCAAACGCGACACACCGCCAGAATGCTCTGGACCAGTATATGTACCGTATTTTGATTTTGATTTTGATTTTTTTTCGTTATTTCCTTTCCCCTTTTACCCCACACCCATCCAGAGAGTGCGCCAGCTTCGCCATCGGCGGCAGGGCGCCTGGCGCTCCACGGGCTGCAAGGTCCTCGGCGGCGCGCTGCCGGCCTTTCGGCTCGACAGGCCGACCCTGCGTCTTACGGTCAAGGCGTCTGCCCGCCATGGCGGCACACACGGAGGCTCCGCCTCTTGGCTCCGCCGCACCACAGCTGGGCGCCGGCCATGCCTCGCCGTCGTCGACCAGCTCCGGCGGCTCACCGCGCTCAAGGCGTTCAACGCCTCGGGGTTCCGCTCCCGGCCAGATCCTGCTGTCTGGTTCGCCGTTGCTGCCGCCGCCGTCGCTTCGCCGTCATTGACCTCCGCTCAGACGCGTCAATGGCGAAGCTCCCGACCGATCTCGGGATGTCCGGGAACTCGACCACCCTTGTTCTCTCCGGTAACAACCTCTCGGGCTCTATCCCGCCATCGCTCTTCTCAATCCCTAGTCTCGCGTTCTCGATCTCTCCGCCAACAACCTCACCGGAGCTAGGTTTTGAGAATGGGACCGATGGTGTAGCGGATTTCGTAATGAATCGCTTGTGCGGTGCAAAGCAAGCCAGCAGAGCCGTGGAGATTGTGAGGCGTTCTACACGAGGAACGGGTGAGGCTAGCGTTGGACCCCATGTCATCATTGTCGTGATGACCGAGTCTTCAAAGTTTCGTTAGCTAGCATAAGACTAGGACTGTCGGTTGTAACTCTGAACGGCCATCAGAATCGCTTCGGTCTTGGTGATCCAAGCATCTAGGAGTCTGTTAGTATTGCTTGGACAGACAGCAGTGATCGACACCGTATATGTACTGCATACACCGCATTACATGAATGAATTGAGCGTTCATCTAACTTACATGGTATCGCCTTCTATCGATCCCAACCCTCCGCTTCCGCAGATCTCCCACCCATGGCGAGCCCGTCTGCTTCTTCAGCCGCCACCATTGCCCGACGCCGCCCTGTACGCCGGGAATTCCGGGTCGCTTCCTGCGGGCCTCTACTCCGCCTTCAACAACATGGTCATCAACACTCCAGCGGCGGTGGCACCGACCGGTTCCTCGACACGGGGCTACGGCGCGATATGGCGTCAAATGTCGGTATCCTTACATCTCCTCCCATCACCACTCGCTCCCCATCACATTGTTGTCGGTAACGGGCAACATCTCTCTCGGACATCGCACGGCGACACCTCCTCCATCCTCACCTCCTCTTCCTCCTTACTACCTTCTTCGCAATGTGCTTATTGCTCCTCAAATTGTTAAGAATCTCATTTCAGGCGCTCACTAACTCGTGACAATTACTCTCTGTGGAATTTGATCCCTGGGGTTTCACCATCAAGGACCTTCGCACTGGGATGGCTCTGCTCCGATGTGACTCTTCGGTGAACTCTATCCCTTCGCCAGCCCCTCCACCTGGCCGGGCGCCACCTCCATCTCGCACTTCTTGCATCCAACGGCAATGAGCTCGCATGCTCGTGCTGGGACATCCCGGGCATGACACTCTTGAAGTTGTCCTGCTCCATTGGTTTTTCATGTTCTCAGTCTAATCGCCACACTTGTGATGCCTGTAGTCGAGGCAAACATGTACGCCTTCCATTTAGCAATTCCAATAATATTTCGTCAGTTCCCTTTCAGCTATTACACTGTGATGTATGGACCTCTCCAATTTTAAGCAATTCCGGGTTCAAATACTATCTTGTGATATTGGATGACTACTCACACTATGTCTGGACATTCCCCTTGCGCCACAAATCTGATGTTCTACCCACGCTCATCTCGTTCCATGCATTTGTTCGCACACAATTTCAGGCACCCATAATGTGCTTCCAAACAGACAACGGTAGAGAATTCGACAACTCGGCGTCCCGGGCCTTCTTTGCCACACGCGGCATTGCCTTCACCTGACCTGTCCATACACGTCACAGCAGAATGGCCGAGCTGAACGCGTCCTGCGAACACTCAATGATGGAGTCCGCGCCTTGCTGTTTCAGGCATCAATCCCCCCAAGCTTTTGGCCTGATGCTCTCGCGGCGTCAACATACCTGCTTAATCGCCGTCCATGCCGGCCACGTGCCAATTCCACCCCCTTCAAACTTCTCTTCGGTGCACCACCAGAGTACAACCACCTCTGAGTCTTTGGGTCCCTCTGCTACCCAAATCTCGCCACCACCGCGCCGCACAAACTAGCACCGCGATCTGAGCGCTGCGTCTTCCTCGGATATCCCCTTGATCAAAAGGGCTACAAGTGCTATAACCCCGTAACCAAACATGTAATCATATCACGTCATGTCTATTTCGACGAGACTTGCTTCCCGTTTGCGTAGGTTGACACAGCAGCACAGCTGCCGAGCTGTTCGTGCGCGCCGTGCGAACCGGAGGAGGTGATCATTCCTACCGGTGCGCGCCGCCCTCAACATCGTGCACCAGCAGCCGCATCAACACGAGCTGCAAGGATGGGGCCTCAACCACCTGAGACATCACCGCCCGCATCTGGGGGCTCGACCACGACTTCGCCCCCTCGTGCGCAGCCGACGGATGCCGCTGCTGAGCCGGTCACCACGTCGCCGTCACCCACTACATCTATGGTGACCGTGCCGGCCTTGCCTGCTCCAGCGTCATCATCTACTGCACCGGCATCTTCCCTGGCTGTGCCACCTCTACGCCACCCGATGGTTACTCGTGCGCGTGACGGCATTCATATGCCCAATCCAAAATACGCGCACGTGGTGACCACGCCCGGACCGTCGCCGCCTCCAACATCCGTTCGTGCCGCACTACGGGACGCAGAGTGGAAAGCTGCGATGCAAGAAGAGTTCGACGCGTTGCAGCACAATGGCACTTGGACACTTGTGCCCAGACCCGATCGAGCTAACATAATCACCGGTAAATGGATCTTCAAGAACAAATTGCACCCAGATGGCAACCTGGAACGTCGCAAGGCGCGGTGGGTCGTGCGTGGGTTCTCCCAACGCCCGGGCGTCGACTTTCACCAGACCTTCTCTCCGGTGGTCAAGCCAGCAACCATCCGCACGGTTCTTCACCTGGCTGCAACACGTCAATGGCCAGTTCACCAACTCGATGTCAAGAACGCATTTCTACACGGCAACCTCGCCGAGCATGTCTACTGTCATCAACCCACAGGCTTCGTAGACACAAACCACCCAGATCATGTCTGTCTGCTCGTTAAGTCTCTCTATGGCCTCAAGCAGGCACCACAGGCTTGGTTCCAGCGTCTTGGACAGCACCTCATCAGCATGGGCTTCGTTGCATCAGGGTCTGACAGCTCCTTATTCATCTACACAAAAAGGGGCAATGCGGCATATCTTCTGGTGTATGTTGATAACATAATCCTCACTGCTTCATCGGCCGCCCTTCTGCACAGCATAGTTGATCAGCTACGTCGTACCTTTGCGATCAAGGATCTGGGTGACCTCCACTTCTTCCTCGGCGTACAAGTGTGCCGTGATGCCTCCGGATTCCATCTCAACCAAGCTCAGTACACAGAAGACATTCTAGAACGGGCAGGGATGGCCAACTGCAAGCCAGTCACCACCCCGGTTGAGGTCCAGCCCAAGCTATCAGCAAATGAAGGCGAGGCTATGACGGATGGCACCTTCTACCACAGCATCACCGGCGCACTCCAGTACTTGACTCTCTCCCGGCCAGACATTGCTTATGGGGTCAATCAAGCTTGCCTTCATATGCATGCCCCGCGTGATGTGCACTGGAATCTTGTCAAGCGCATACTTAGATATCTTCGTGGCACAGTTCAGCTCGGCATCAAAATCTCGGCTACTCCATCAACGACACTCAAGGCTTACTCTGACGCCGATTGGGCTGGTTGTCCTGACACTCGGTGATCGACATCAGGGTACTGCGTGTTTCTTGGTGACTCTCTCGTGTCATGGTCATCCAAGCACCAAACGATTGTCTCACGATCAAGCGCCGAAGCTGAATACCGAGCAGTGGCCAATGCTGCTGGCTCCACAATCTTCTTCGAGAGCTCCATGTCGTCATTGACAAAGCCACGGTGATCTATTGCGACAACATATCTGCAGTCTATCTTTCCGAGAATCCAGTTCACTACCGACGGACTAAGCATGTCGAACTTGATATTCATTTTGTGCGGGAGAAGGTGGCCTTAGGGCAGTTCAAGGTGATGCACATACCTACACGGTACCAGTTTGCAGACATCATGACCAAGGGACTCACTTCGCCATTATTCACTGAGTTCAGGGAAAGCTTGTGCATTCGATCACATGAAGCTACAACTGAGGGGGGGGGTCAGTAGCTGAGTCTTCAGAGTTCTGTTAGCTAGCATAAGACTAGGACTGTCAGTTGTAACTACAACGACTACTGTCTTCAGCTGATCTAAGCATCTAGGAGTCTGTTAGTGTTGCTTGGACAGCAGTGATCGGCACCCTGTATATGTACCTGTACACCACACACATGAATGAATTGAGCGTTCATCTAACTTACAATCATCGCCATTGCCGGAGCCACGGCCACCACAGGTGCGGCCGATGCCGTCAACGAGCAAGAGAGGGGGCAAATGGAAGTTTGTATTGGCGGGGGTCCTTGGAGGTGGTGCGATTGTGGTAATACTTGGCCTTAGCGCGCTGGTGATTTGCTTGTTGAGAAGAAAAGGAAGGAGACCGAGAGGAAGAGGAGTGGAGCAAGACTGAGGAGGGCATTCGGTCTGGGCGGAGAAGTAGTAGTGTGAATCCCATCACAATGTCACCCATGGCATCCCCCGGAGCCAGTCGTTCACAAAAGGGCTTTCCTGGGTAAAAGGGGAAAGGAAATAACGAAAAAAAAATTCAAAATCAAAATACGGTACATATACTGGTCCAGGGCATTCTGGCGGTGTGTCGCGTTTGAAAATGGCAGACGGACGAATCCCTTTTGCGGGATGGCAAAAGAGCGAAGCCCACGTTTGATAATGGCGAAATTGTAATTTTCGCCTAAAATTTAGTCCGTGAACCAAACACCCCGGGCGGTGGATTTGGCGGTGTGGGTGGGATTGGAAGCTGGCCCCCAACAGCGAAGTTGTACTTGCATTGTGGGCACGGGAAGAGCAACTTTGGCAAGAAAGAGAGACCAGCAAAGTGATATAGTTCATGAACAGGGTAAATC